GACCTCAGTGGCGTTCGTGCTGTGAGTTTCTTTGTCCCTCCCCATCCCTTTTAGTCTCCCCCTCCATCTACGATCTCATTTCCTAGGGTAAAACATAATAATCTTTTTCTTCTTTTTGCCTAGTAGCTGGCTGGAAGCTTACTGGAACGATGCCTATCCGTTGCTGGTAGCTCAGCTGGCATGCAACTGTTGTATCTATTTTTCCTATTTTTTTACCTTAATACTTTTCTTTCTCATATAAATATCTCCCTGTACTCTATTCCATTAACTTGCACACATCGCTTCAGCCAATTGTATTTTTTCTTTCTCTCTCTCTCTCTCTCAAGTGTTTGGCTGTTGTTTGATATCCCCTGGTGTGGCTGCGCTTGATGTGCATGTTGACAAGGTGCCTACCTGTCTATTACCCACTACCTCGTCCATACTGGCTCCAGGAGACAGTTGGTCGTTGCTGGAGGGGACGGGGTGCACGGTCCTTGTGGCCGTGCTAGGCTCAAAGAGTTGGTTCCATGCACTCAGTGTGGAGCGGACTACGGTCCAGCCACCGCCTTGTTGTGGGGCCGGCTCCGTTGATGAAACGTGGTTCCCATCCGCATGCCTCCCGGTCTTATTCCTTCGGGTTTACACTGGATATGGGGTATGTGGTTGGAGCTGTGGGTGGTGCAGCGCAAGCCATCCATGGTCCCTCTGTAGGCGCAGGCGTCCTGTGGCTTGCCACAGTGACAGGCAAATCCGAAACCGGATGCCGCCAACCATGTATGTATGTGTGCCCCATGCTGAGGCTGATGTTGCATTCTTGATGCTTCTTCACCGCAGTTGGGCTAAACCAACTTACACTTAAACTAGGTCTTTTTAAGCTGGATAAATTTCATTCCGCTTTATTTGGTTTGTTCTGCCTCCCTGAATAATGTTCTATTAACTGGCCACGTTGCTTACACTAATTGCGCTTATCTTCGGTAATTTTGTTGCGTTTGTAGCATTTTAAGTAACTTGTGGACATTTCTTACTTATCACGGATTTGTTGCTAACCAACTTACTTCATATGGTAATTTAGCGAAGAGTTATGCCACCGTATCTGTATGCATTATTGGATTTATTTTATTTCAGCTTGTCGTTTAAAGTGAATGGCTGTTGTTTGATATCCCTGGTATGGTTGCGCTTGATGTGTATGTTGACAAGGTGCCTACCTGTCTATTACCCACTACATCGTTCATACTGGCTCCAGGAGACAGTTGGTCGTTGCTGGAGGGGACGGGGTGCACGGTTCTTGTGGCCGTGCTAGGCTCAAAGAGCGGTTCCATGCACTCAGTGTGGAGCGGACTACGGTCCAGCCACCGCCTTGTGTGCGGTTGATTCCCCAAATACAGCGTGCTTGTGTTTGCCTGTGAAGGAGTGTGGGCCGGCTCCGTTGATGAAACGTGGTTCCCATCCGCATGCCTCCCGGTCTTATTCCTTCGGGTTTACACTGGATATGGGGTGTGTGGTTGGAGCTGTGGGTGGTGCAGCGCAAGCCATCCATGGTCCCTCTGTAGGCGCAGGCGTCCTGTGGCTTGCCACAGTGACAGGCAAATCCGAAACCGGATGCCGCCAACCATGTAAGTGTGCCCCATGCTGAGGCTGATGTTGCATTCTTGATGCTTCTTCACCGCAGTTGGGCTAAACCAACTTACACTTAAACGAGGTCTTTTTAAGCTGGCTAAATTTCATTCCGCTTTATTTGGTTTGTTCTGCCTCCCTGAATAATGTTCTATTAACTGGCCACGTTGCTTACACTAATTGCGCTTATCTTCGGTAATTTTGTTGCGTTTGTAGCATTTTAAGTAACTTGTGGACATTTGTTACTTATCACGGATTTGTTGCTAACCAACTTACTTCATATGGTAATTTAGCGAAGAGTTATGCCACCGTATCTGTATGCATTATTGGATTTATTTTATTTCAGGTTGTCGTTTAAATTGAATGGCTGTTGTTTGATATCCCTGGTATGGTTGCGCTTGATGTGTATGTTGACAAGGTGCCTACCTGTCTATTACCCACTACATCGTTCATACTGGCTCCAGGAGACAGTTGGTCGTTGCTGGAGGGGACAGGGGTGCACGGTTCTTGTGGCCGTGTTAGGCTCAAAGAGTGGTTCCATGCACTCAGTGTGGAGCGGACTACGGTCCAGCCACCGCCTTGTGTGCGCTTGATTCCCCAAATACAGCGTGCTTGTGTTTGCCTGTGAAGGAGTGTGGGCCGGCTCCGTTGATGAAACGTGGTTCCCATCCGCATGCCTCCCGGTCTTATTCCTTCGGGTTTACACTGGATATGGGGTATGTGGTTGGAGCTGTGGGTGGTGCAGCGCAAGCCATCCATGGTCCCTCTGTAGGCGCAGGCGTCCTGTGGCTTGCCACAGTGACAGGCAAATCCGAAACCGGATGCCGCCAACCATGTATTTCGTTATGTACTGCGGCACAATAGCGGAGGTGTTTTCCCACCTCTAGCTGATGTGTATAATGATGATGATGAGATCAGGTCAAGGAGAGCAACTATGTTTGCTCAATTTTTGACAGCACTCCCGATGTATCTCACAAAAATCAGATGAGTGGAAATGTAATGACAGTAGAGGAGTCGTTTCAGCTTCGTTGAAACCAACAGTAAAAGAGCACAGGAAATTTCTGTTGGTATTGATAGAAGCGGAGAAGCTGGTTAACGACTGTCGTGGCCAGGCATTATAGACAGTACTGCTGTTATGGCGGGCTACCAATCAGGTGTACAGAGACCTCTGTGAAATCAATCCAAAGCTACATTTGTGTCATGCACAAACCATTCCCTGAATCTGACTTGTGTTCATGAAGCATCTGTGACGGTTCATTCTGTTGCATTGTTGACAGGATAGACCGGCTATTCTCATCCTTTTTACTTCTAAATATTGCTGGATTGTTTTGATGCAAGTCACCGGTGTGGTGAAGAAATACTCGGAACTCGTCGCTTCTCTGAAACCTTTCAAAGATTAATGAGAAAATGCAACCACGAGATAAGATGCAACTCTAATTCTTACTTCGGTATTGTCGTTACCGTTTATTTTATTTTTGAGCCTTTGGAGATCTGTCCTTACAGAAATCAGGGATGTATGGAAATGTCTAAACAGAAGGGGCTGGATCTGCGACAAAGCTCTGTCAAGCTTACAATGTAAATAGTTTTCCTTCTTAAGAATAGAGAGAAAATGGTTGACATTGCAGTGGATAAATCAAAAAACACTACGCTGAGTTGAGGGTAAGCATGAAGTGTCCAATCCGCCGAAAGAAACGAATGGACAGAGAAGAATAGTTTTATATATCGATGAGTTAAACCAGAAATGTCTGTCATGGACAGTTTGACTGGCAAACTGCTATAGATTTCAGCAGATTCATGACCTTGCAAACAAATATGCTTTTCTTGCACCGTTAAATCTGCTTGTTAATAACTATAGTTGTTCGCTTAGCGAAGTTGAGAAAGACACAGAAAAAGATGAATTCCTTGTCGAAAGGAGATGATTGCAGTGAGAGATTCAGGAAACGACAAAATTAATGGATCTTCCGAACTCTTTAACTTCATACAGAAGCATCACTTTTTGAATCCGTTGCGCATCTTTCTTATTCGGGCTATTAGCACAGCCAGTTGTGAGGGCGCATTCTCAAAACTCAAGCTTATGACGAACTACTTACAATGATCAATGAACCAGCCAAGGCTCACGGATTGGAAGTTCTCTCCATAGAATGGGAATTCGCTAGTGGACTGAATTTCGTTGGTGTTATCAATACTACTGCCTCAAGTAATACAAGAAAAATGTATCTGAAAATTTTGCTCACGAGTATTGTAACAATACATATACCTGAATTTACGGCAGTACTTTAAAGTTGATCTTTGTTGTTATATGAATCCAAAGATATAAGGTGTGTTCGCGATTGTTTGGGTATACGGATTCACAAATGCCAGGGGGAGGCAATTCTACGCCCGCCCCGGGCGTCAAAAATAGTTGCTAGCCACTGACTACGGCGTAAAAACAAATGCAACGTGAGGCTAGTAAGACAGCGTTAGAAGATATTATTCCACGCAACTCGTTATGGAAAATAATGGAACGTTACAAAATTTAGGGAGCATGTGACGAGAGAGGTGCGCTTAGCCAATATCCCGGGTTGCCTAAACACTAGAGAAGACTGATTATGTGTACACCAGTGCTAAACTTTCACGTGACGCTGGGGGGTTGGCCATTAACTGAGTGTGTCACATGAATTTTCTGCAACGTGCTATTACCATTGTTTGATAGAATGTGAATTCTAAATCCAAGTGGACAGCTGTAAGCGCGCCCTTCGAGCTCACGTCAACTGAGGTGCATCATTGTTTCCAACGAAGCCATCGACCTCATCCTTAGCTTTTTACGTGCGCCGTATTCGAACCGTAGCATACACACAGGGTAAATCAGTAATAATCAAAAGAGTTATCATGGGTTAGTTTACATTGTGATAGGTGATCACATGGTAGAGCGTGAAATAAGTGCATGAGTGAAACTACTCGTGCTCTTAAGCAGTGTTATAGTCGCGGTTAATGAGGCGTAGAGCCGCCAGCACAAAGACACCCCACCGTAGTGTATTGCAAAGATGGCAAGATCCAAGAAACAGGCAAGACAGCTGACAATATAGGTTAACGTGAGAGTGTGTGTCAGACATACTCGGCGGCCTGATGCACATGAACCACAGGAGAGCAGTGATGAGAGCAAAGTTCACGGTCAGGGGTGTGGGACGAGGTTATACTTTTAAGGCACCGGATCGCCTGGCGTAACAAACTGGTGTGGCATAACTTGAGGGAGTGCAGGGAAAGTACATGGTGGAATCTCTCACTATCATGCACGCAGTCTAGCCTGTCTATGGCAAATCTTGATTAGTAACAGTTGCATGCTGAAGCCAGAGAAGGAGAATACGCTGAATAGATCTGGATTTGTTTCCTTGATGTGTACATTTGCTTATCCGTACAGTGGGACTTACCGATGCACAAAACCCATCGCGTGAACGCTCTCTAAAGCCAGAGTCAGTTCGGCGATGTAAAATCGCGCCAAAGGCTCCTCGAATATGCCCTTTTTGATGAGCAATGACATCATGTCGCCTCCTGAAATGGATTGAAGTAAGCAAACAAGTTCAGTCCACTGCAAAGAAACCGCATAGATAGTCTAAAACGGTAGGATGGATATCACCAAGAGCCAGCAGTAGGCACGGGGGTGAGCAGAGCATACGTCGAAAATTATCAGTTGATCTAAGTAACGGCTGCACAGTTAACATCATCGAGTGTGTTAGCACTTCAGTTCAGTTATTACTTTATGGTTCGTGCGAAGATACACAATCTATACGGATGATATGAACCATGTTCCGAAGAAGGTAATAACAACTAGCGACATTTCAAGAAAAGGGGATGCAGCAAAACGATGACGGAACATAAAACAAAAATAATTGCAAAAGTTTCATATTCGGGTGAAGTTGCTTCACGACTACATAGTAACTCAGAGAGAGTCTTCGGCCACCAGTAAAGCCATTTCGTGAATTCTATCGAAGAACATGGCACGTAACGGTTAAGCCAACTCCTTCGGTTACTTTATTAACACTTGTTTGCAACGTCATCGCATGGTCACCTAAAGACTTCACCCAACCGTGAGTGGTACTGACGAAGAGGGCACACGAGGCACGTTGTAGACTGAAGAATGCGATTTAACCAAGGTGGAGACGGTTAGAGCTCAAAAGGGGTGGTTGCTACTTACTGTTTAGAGGATATCAGCACTAATAGCCTGATTCCACCCATCATCGAATGTGACCTTTGCTACTCATATACCGGTGGCCGACAGCGAGAATTTCCTAGTGGCCTCAGCACGCAGCGGCTTTAGCACTAATCCATTGTGTAACACTGATCACATTCTACTTAAGTGCTGAACAAGTAGCACACCTGCTAGCTAGACGACTGAGATTTTGTGCAATCACGTATGTCTAACCAAACCAACCTCTTCGGTGATTTGCCCAGATAAGTTAACCAGGCAGACACTGTGGCTGGTGGTTGGAACGACGGACGCATCAGGCGAATGCTGTAACAGTACCTAGCATTCAGGTGGTGCGATGAAAATGCGGAAGCATAGAACGTTTGCGTCGGTTTATCCAGAAGCTATGGTATGTCGCTTGAGTTCGACCACGGGATAGGCTTGTCGTCCACTTACATATATTATATACAGGAAGAAGGGTTTCTTGGTTCAGTCAAACCTGTCTAAGGCGACCACTCAAGGTGGTCGCCATAGACAGGTTCATGCATAGGGACCATTACTCATGGGAGCAAACGTTGGGGATGATTTTGGCTGGTCGCCATAGTAGGTTCGACTGTTTTTCTAATAGCTACTGCTGCATCCGAGGCGCTGACAGGCATAACTCTGCGAAACTTGCGCAGATTTTGACGAGCTCATTTCAGAATTACTATCACCATACGGCGATTCAGACTGCGCCAGTAACAACCGAGCCGTCTCCAGGATATTGATGCCAGGTCACAGTGAACCGAATCAGGACAATGATGCATCTACTGTGTAAGCTGTAGTGAACCCATTGAACTGTCCTTATATCATAATGAATCATCTGAACTATCCGCAGTACACTGCGGCAGTTACCGCACAGCGCCACACTGACACTAACTGAGTTTCCTTCTGGACATTACTACTAAGTGACAACTGATGTGCTTTATTAACATCCACCTTCCTCTATAGTTTACGTAATACACTGCTATTCTATTGAGCTACGAATATGAAGGCAAAGAAGGCATGCTTCCTCTTGCCTGAGTCAGTAAAAGAACTCTTGCTAACGGCCAGTCTTTCTTACTCGTTCGGGTCTCAGTGTACTCGTGCTAAGTTGCAAGACTTTTGTCTTCATTTACAGCTCGCGTGTATGTCTGTCGGCTAGGTCACGTTAGCCCGCGTTCGTCCGTTCAAACTGTGTCAAAACAACTAAGACGCGTTCTAACAAGTATGTCGAAATGCCTATGAGGATGCTTTCTCAACATTGAAAAAAGTCGTTTCTGTTCCTCATCTGAACTATACGCACCAGTGTGACCATGTTTTTTTATTATGCCTCACTGTCATGTCATCTGCTGGTCATGTTGCGGTCGCCTAACTGGGTGCACTGTCGCTAAACTGTACAGCATGCTGCAGGGTTGGAAGGTAATGTGGTTTAATCAAGGTAACGGTAGGTGTCCAAGTAGAGAAAAAGCAACCTTAGTGGCAAAAGTCAGCTGACGGATCCCGGTATTAACCGCTTTATGGTTCAATCATATATGAGCAGTGCTTCGTGCACACCAAGCGTAGAAAGCAGCCTGTCTCCCCATGCTATCAGCACAATATATCAGTTACAGTTACACTGGTTGCATGCGAGCGCAGTACGCTCTTTTGGTAACCTGTAATCTGTGCTCCTGCGTTTGGATTAAACTTTGGAAAGTCACGTGGGTCTTGCCAACAAAAGCATCGAACACTACGGTGTTTTGATTACGTTGAAGGATAGAATCACTCGCTATGCCGCAGCGTTTGCACTTTTAAAGTTAAATGCTAAAACGGATCGGTTAGCTCCTTGTGCGAAGCCATGGGTCCATCATCATCAGTACCCAGTAGCTAAAGGTGTGAAACATATTTCAGCTAACTGTGCCGCAATACAAAAGATAAGATAAGCCAAGGATCCATTGTTACAATGATTCGAGTCGGACCCCAAAAGAGTTGGGACTACGGCGCACTGCATACTAATCGCTTAGTCAACCAAGAAATTCTTCAGCTTGTGTGAAGTAGCCGCGACAAAGATTCGCGGAAGGTCTAGAATAAAACTGGTTATTCATGGATTTGTATTGCAATTGTATTGTGTTCTAAACCATCCGAAAATATGAGAAAATATGTTCCAAAGTTACGCCAAAACAACCTCAGAAAACAGAGAAGTGTAGTAAGACGGTTATTCCCGTAACCAACAAGTATCACTGTACACGAAAAATGGAGCGCAAGGCATTCGAAGTCACATGGACACAGAATCAAGTTATCAATCAACGGCTACGGCAGATGGTCAATAGCCGTAGTATACCCACACAAACGCACACGCGGTGAGCACCTGGCAAGGCGTATCAATACGAGATATTGAATAGGCGGGACACCGTTGTTTATAACCATTAGAACCATGAGATTGAGGAATCAAGAAGTGAAAGGGGAAGAACAACCTATTCGGAAAAGTCATAGAGGGATCGACTCTCAGCATTCTGTCGCATCGCCTGGAACTCTTAAGCGCAGATTTGAAAACAAGAATAAGCTTCCTCTGCAGGTTGGCGAAAGGGTCAGTCCTTTACTTTATAAACCTGAGGTCACAGGTTCAAGCCTGCGTTGGGGGCCAGGCAACCCTTAGAGAATCCTTAGCTCATGCGCGACCGCTGATGGTTACGTGGCAGCGAAGCATCTAATCCGGTGTATTGCTGCTATTTTTCTTCCTTTTTTAGGCAATTCCGTCAGCGATCTAGGAACATCAAGGTTAGTGAGAAGAGCATTACCGGGGTAGAGTGATACCGACAGAAATCTGCGGCATGTCTTCAACAAGCCAAGAGCGTACAATGTGCGCCAAACAGACAATAATGCATAAAGGGTGCGGAAGGGATTCCGGGTAAGTGAGCGGACCACATACAATTTACATCAACCTGCATCACACAGACAAATGTGCTCACTCTCACAGTGATCACAATAGCGCGTAAATCGGGAGACATTTCACTCCTACTAGCAACGGGTATTCCAACTAAGTCTCGATTTGCCAAGTAGCTGCTATGTCACATCTGTAAAACGCATTAGAATATTATACGTTATTATATATATATATATATATATATATATATATATATATATATATATCGGCGGGAGAGCCTATGGTGCGCTGAGGCTGGTGGTGGCTAGATCCTGCCAGATGGTATACCCATTGCTGCTACTGTTGTGCCATTTGCTCATATCCTAGGCACCTCCTCGTGGCGACCGCTGGGTGGGATTTGGATTTCGCCCTTCTCCCTGCTAAGATCCAGGACACCAATCCGCATGAGTCAGTGAACCGACAATGTGTTAGACCCGCTGCCTTTCGGGTGTTCATTTAATTGAAGGCTTTGGCTGAGGACCCGAGTCGTTCTCATGTCAGGATTGGGCGCCTTGGCAGTATCCTAGTCCATCCTCTCCGGAGGTTAGGAAGTGGTCGGTGGCCATCTTCCCGTAAAACCTAGCCATGGGAGACAACAGATCTAAGGGTTATAAGCTCACAGTTCGATTGGCGTAGAGCACGAGTGCCACGCATTGTCTCTGACGGTGGGAGGACACCTCCGGGTGTTTAATGGTTTGCTACTGCCCGCCTCAAGCCAGGCAGCCCCTGGTCAAATTGGTGCAAACCCGCCAAAAACCCACCTGCGTCTGGCCGTGGTCGCAGGTGCGTATCCAATTACGGTCGCAAAACATATGATAATTGTTCCAGAACCTCAAAGGCTGCGTGTGACGGCCGTCAAGCAGATCCCCATCTGTCTCTGCAATCACATTCCCGAGCTGGATCTGCTGTCCACTGCCTTGTGGGTCAGGCCATTGAGCCAAAGTCTCCGGATGAAGAACCTCAAGCAAACCTCCGAAGCACAACGACCACCACGCGTGCGATTGCCCACCAATGCAATCGTATGCCTGCGCGCAAAGCACTCAGCATCGGGTGCTGGAACGTGAGCACACTACTGGACCGGAACTCCAGTGAACGCCCCGAGCGACGCATTGCACTGGTCACGATGGAGCTGGCGCGTTACAACATCGATATTGCGTCGTTCAGTGAAACTCGGCTCGCTGAGCAAGGTACGTTGCATGAAGCAGGTGCTGGCTACACATTCTACTAGGTGGGCAACGCCGTCTCAGCACCACGTGAACATGGGGTCGGATTTGCAATATCCGATCGCCTCTATGGCCAGCTGGTGGGTGAACCAACAGGTATCAGCGCGCGACTGATGACTGTTCGCCTACGACTCGGAAGAGGTAAGTTTGCCACTTTCATAAGCACGTACGGTCCGGCTATGTGTTATCCTGATGACGCGCGTGATCAATTCTACAATCAGCC